CAATAAATCGATGCCTAGTTATTTCATTTGGAAATTCCGATTTAATGCTATTTAGAAACCCGGCCGGGTGGAAATTAATATAATTTAACTGCTTGACATGTTGGGCAGGACTGGACATACGCCCTTGTTAACTTTTGCAGCTCAGGAAAATAAACTGCTTCGCGTACGCGTTGGATGGTTTTTCGAATACCAGAATGAGATGCTAAAGGGGAGTCGTGTAACTCCTGCAGTATATTTAATCTAAGACTAGCTGGGATAACAGGTCGAAATTCGTTGTTGGAATTCGTAGTTTTTGTATAAAATAATAGACCATCTATTAGTTCGTAATGGGCCGCCCTATTTCTTATCACCACAATATCTTGGTGGCTAAAATTTTCAGGATCCTTTAAATACTCATAAATATTTTTAAATTCAGGATCCTTACCCAGTTCGGTTATTACAGTTTCTCGGGAATGTATCGTACGTGCTGTGAGCATTGTCACCTTTACAGTATTACCTTCTTCATCTATTTTTATTCTGGATAGGGCATCTGCTACGATATTTTCCTTTCCGGGGGTGTGCTTAATTACCAGATTATACTCTTGTAACTTGAGTGCCCATCTTATTAACCTTGGGGATAAGTTTTTCCCTGAGTACAATCTAGTTACCGCCGCATGATCAGAATACATCTAGCAGCAATAAATGTTTGTAAACTATTTGTTAACAGGAATTTTATGATTAAAATACATTATTTTGTCTGAAAAGGTTATGCAACAACGTCATAAGTCAAATCATTGAAATATAGCACCGCGTACGCGTGTTTAATATTCCTAATGAATTTGAATAAAAAAAATTTAATTTTTAGCAACCCATGATTATATCAATAATTTTATTTATTCAGGAATTATACCTATCATGTAGCTACAAATATACTATGTATCGTAGATACCAATAAGCAGTGAGTAAAAATATAACAAACTTTTAACAAAAGTAATAGGAAGAAAAATAAAAAAAATTAAATAACTATAGGTTAAATCATAAAACATATTATCTTGCACACACACATATATATATTTAACATATGCAGTGAAAGGAAATTGCAATACATATTCCTATTTATACCCTTTTTAAATCGATCCCACCAGTGACCGTGTTGGTAAAATCGCTGAACACTGGTAGTTCGGTCCGAGGTCCAAATACTGCGAACGGGTTTGTTGCATTACCAACATATCTCTGATAACCAATATATCTGTCATTACCAACATATTTCTCGTAATTTCCAAAAGCATAAAAAATTAAGGCATACAAAACCTGTTTTAAATAAATAACTATATGTATATATAAATGTATTATAAATATATTAATATATGCAGTGAAAGGAAATTGCAGTACATATTCCTATTTATGCCCTTTTTAAGTCGATCCCACTAGTGGCCGAGCGGTAAAATCTCCGAACACTGGTAGTGCGGTCCGAGGTTCGAATCCCGCGAACGGGCTGGACGCATGGACATGACAGATATATCATTGGTAACTTCCAGAAGCATAGAAGTTTAAGGCACAGAAAATCTGTTTTTTATATATATATATATAACTGTATAAATATATTAACAGATGCAGTGAAAGAAATTGCAGTACATATATATTTATACCCTTTTTAAATCGATCCCACCAGCGGCCGGTAAAATCGCTGAACACTAGAAGTTCGGTCCAAGGTTGGAATCCCGCGAACGGGCTGGTTGCATGGACGTTTTCGTGGTTTTCCCCATGTGTTACGTGTATACGAGCTAGTTTTCCTTAGAATGTCCTCCACGAAGGCAACCCTCACTTTAGGCAGATAGCCCTCGAGGCTTTGCCGTAATTACATAAAACCAAAAACTAAGCACTTTTTAGATCTGAATAAATATACACAAAACTGATGTAATATCTAAAAGTAGACCACATTAAAAAATCTGATAACTAATTATAAATCTTGCATTATAATATTGACAAGAATTTAACCGAAAATTATACAGGAATTTAACTTGTTTTATACAGGAGATTCTAGAAACTATTGGAAATTGACATTGATATCGGTACAGTTAAAACTACTTAAATAAATTTTTTAACTCAAAGCAATTTAATGTAAATGTTGAATTTAGGATGTGCATAGTTTGAATTATATACTGCATATTCTTTAATGCATGTCTAATGTATTACATTTTTATACACTACAAATTCAAATAAAAGTAGAGGGAAATACATTATAATTTAAAACATAAAATTTCAAAATTTAAAAATTACTCATCATGAAATTAAGTACATTGATATATACATTAGTTTAAAAATTACAATTTTAAATTAAAAGTATGCACCCCTTCTTTATATGTGAAATAGGAAAAACACCAAATATATTATTTTCACTAAAATTTAATTAAGGCATTGGTAATGTAGAATCGTCAGCATCAAATGCGTTATTTCTATAGCGAAATACTCGAGTTTTTCACAAATCTTAAGAAATTAAAATATCTATTACGTACACTTTCAAAAACAATCCGTGACCTCCGCCGTCCTCAGTTTAGCTCTAAAACGACAGTCAGAAACTTAAACGGCAGCTGTCCAGCTGACGGAAAAATTTCCGACGCGTCGATCTCTGTAATGATCGAGACGATGACACCACACTCGCTCTCTGTCGAGTAGATCGCAAAAAAAAAAACGACCCGTTCTTCTATCTCGACGGTGTCCAGACTAAGGCCCTAAATTATGTGGCCACTAGAGTGTCGGAAAATGGAAAAGTTTTGCACAGAACCTTACGATCCCCCAGCTATGATACTTTTTTAATGGGAATAGTGTTCTCAATAGGGACTTGTAAAGTGCGAAGTATTAAGTATATATATGTATCAGCTTTCTAAGATCTTTATTTGCCGGAGATGGCATTATCCTTAATTTATGGGCATGAGTGTAGATTCAAAAATCGAAATAATCTTCATGTCATACAGATTACAGGAGAAGCAGCAAGTGGAGATATCAAAGCCGCGGCTGGGACATTGAGAACAATAATTGAACAATAATTCCTAGGGACATTGAGAACAATAATTGAACTATAAAACTATCCTCCAGAATTAGTTCTAAATGTCGATGAAACGGGCCTATTTTGGAAAAGAATGCCAAAATATATATTTCTATCTCCAGAAGAAAAACATGCACCAGGATTTAAAGCTGTGAAAGATCACTTAACTCTGGGTGCTAACGCCAATGGAGACTTCAAATTAATAAAGCCACTTGTTGTTTATTCCCCAAACGTAAGAACGATGAAAGAAATATCAAAATTAACTTTACCTGTAATTTGCGAGTCTAATAAAAAATCATGGATGCTATAAAAACTTCCTTAAAATATTTCTTGGTTTATATATGTATAAGTAAAATAATGAATATGTAAAATATAAAATATCTAATATGTGTAAAATATAAAATATCTAATATGTAAAATATAAAACCTAGCTTTCAAATAATAAATCAATAGCCCTTCCGTTTCATTCTAAAAATAACAGCAATAAATGTTTTTCCCTGCAGTTCTGATGATCACTTACCGATGAAATCTGAACCCAAAATCATGTACATTAATTTTCATGTGATCTGAAATGGAATCCGTATAAAAGCTTAATTGCGTCGCAGCTCTCCGTCTTCTGTCTTTTCTTTTGCTTAGTGACGCTGCTTTGCATTGCCGCTAGTTTCGTAGAGTTTACTTTTCTAAATTTAATCCATTCTTGAAGAAATGAGAGCTGAAAAAAGAATTCGCACCCATAGTGATAATGTACATTATCGAAAAATAAAATTAGGCGTGGAATTTACCATTATGTGTGTTCTTCGAGTGTCATCTTGCTAATTGCGCAGCAAAGTCTTCAAGTTATGATGCAGTCCTCTCCAGCACCAATCCGTTGCTACTCTCACCAAGTCATCTTATTTTAACAACAACGCGGTTTGATTACTTTAGTTTAGTAGTTTTATCACACACACACACACACACATATGTACATATAAGGTAACAGAAAAATGTTTGAAAGGAGTGTGGAAAAGTATTGCGCCAGATTTAAACAAGGACAATAGCATTAGAGATTAGGCACATAGCCCTCGAGTGCTTTGCCGTAATGTAATAAAACCAAACCAAGAGATTCTGTTGTTGATATGAACGAAGTAGTGGAATTATCGAAACAAAGAGGTTTAGATGAAGTAAATTTGGAAGATTTCGAAGAAATTTTGCAAGAAACAGCAGGAAATCTTCCTAATGATGAGCTTAAGAAGAGCACAAAAATATTACAAATAGTGCTTCTAAAGAAGAGCAAAAAGAACTTTCAGCTGCATTTCTAGAAACTAGTTTAAGTTCCATAACGGAAATTATGGATTTATTTACTGAAAACAATGCAGATTTTGACAGGAGTTCAAAGGCAAGACAAGGTGTCATGAATGTCTTCTCCTCCTTGCCTTTTATCCCTTGTCCCTTATCAACAACTTCTTGCGAAGCGCAAAAGGAAAACGCAAATAACATTCTTGATTACAAAAAAAAAAAAAAAAAAAAAAAAAAAAAAGGAAATGCAGAAAATATGAATGACTTAAGATATAAATGGTGACTTAAAATTGTATTTATTTATATAGTATATTCATTTGTTAGGTTTCAGTATTTGTAAGAAATAAGTTTTTATGAATTAAACTAAATAACAAAATACTTGAAAATTTTTTTTATTTTATACCCGTTGTCTCCTAACCCCATTATTTATTTACACGATCGGATGACTTTGTTCAAAGCCAATTTTCTTCCTCCTTTTATAAGATTTTAAATTCACGCGCTAGAATTTTCCAGTACTTTCTCGAAATCAAAAAGAGATATTTATTTATTTAATGCACGCGCTCTTGTATTTTCAATGTTTCGGCTTAGCTTTCTTTTAATATTCGTCACGCGCTGCACTGCGCGAGAAATAAAACCATTTAATTTATAATTGAACTAACATTAGCTTTTTAAATACCAAATTCGTAACAATACGTTTTGAATCACATCCACGGTATTCTTTTAAGAGCAAAAAGACGCTGTATTAGCTGCAAAATTAAGTGTTTATTTTTTGTTTTGATCGATTACCGGTGCATAACATTTGTAATTCCAACTGTTTAAATCCAAATATACATGGCACCTCCATTAAAAGTTAAAGTTTGTATATGTTTTAAATAGCTTTGAAAAAATATGTGCAATCTTTTGTATGTGTGAGTCATATTATATATTAACATGTGTGTGAATTATAAACATGTAAAATTATATACATTATTTAAGAAAACGAAAATATTTCGGCTTTTAAATATGATAATTAGGCAGTTTCCGAGAAGAAAGCAAGATCCATAATATCATAGAAATGGGAGCAGTAATGAGATTAATGTTCAGTTTCCATAAATCGTCAAATATTACAAAGTGAAAAAATCACTAGATTGGAATTTACGTTTATCATTAGTATTAAATTTAACAATTATTTTGTATTTATTGTTTTGATAGTACCACGAGTAATTTCTGAGAGAAAGAGGAAGACCAAAAGTATTTTTCGATAATGAAAAATGATTCGGTCTTTAATTTAGGGAAGAATAATGTGTTTTCATGCTGAAGAAAAATATGTATTTCCTTGATAAAGAAGCCATTACAGAAGCTGTAATTGACTAAGCTCAGTAGTCTGTTTGAAAAGGAAGTGGGAAAAATTTAAGTAATCATAAAAGCAGATGTTTGTTTTTAACCTTCTATATGTACATAGTTTTTTAGAATGTAGTGAATTTATGCTAAATGTATATTTGTATTGTCAAAAGTTACTGAACATTCACTATTGATATACCTTAAGGCTGTCATGGGATATCAGACTGATGCTTGTGTATTATCCACTTCGTGGGAATGTTAGTACTATTTTCTGATGACTTCGTGTGAATGATTGCATATTTAATTACATAGTGTAGCAGATTTCCTGGAAACCATTGTGTTTAGATTTTAATACAGCAGTTGTTGGATTATAATTTGCATTCTTTCATTTGTTCTGTTGGGGGGTATTATTAAAATTTAGGATTTGTTTTCAAATGAAGAAAGATATATAATTTTTTTTAAATGTCATGTAGTTTTTGTAGAAGAAAAATATCATTTGGTAGCTCAGAGCAGGATCTGTAGCAGCTTCAAATACTTCATCTGCTAATAAGGATGGATAAGATATATTCTATATAAATGATGCTCTCTTTCATCCCAAAGCTATTCATTGAGATTGGAAAAAGAGCGCTGGACTAGCCAGTATAGCTTTTTGATCTGCATGTCTTCAAACTGTAAAATTAGAGGCTTTGTTTTTTTGAACAGATGGGTTACTGAAACATGACTTAATTGTTGTTGAGGATAGAATTTTCTTTTAGCCAATATAGTTTTGTGTTCTTCAGGATTCAGTGATCTAGGGATTAAAACTTTTAATTTTAGATTGTTTTAAATATTGCAATATTATATTACATTTTTACATTACTAGTTTAAAATTTCACTGCTGTGTGGCATACTTGCACATACAATCTGCCAGAGATATTAGAGTTCTGCACAGACAATGCTGGAATGCCTAATTCTATATTTTAATTCATCACATCTGCCATAATATTCTCTTCCCTGTTGTTCTATAGCCTAATATGGCTATGTGTGTATAGTTTCATTTTTTTAAATATATTTTTAATTTTTTTTAAAATTTGGTGATAAACACTCTTCATGAGGTGTTGGATTGTTATCTGGAGTCTTCATATTTTATGTAACTAGTGCAATTTTTTTTTAAAAAATTTGTTTTTGTGGTAATGCACTGTAAAGCAAAATCTACAGACTGTAAAGTTCTTTTTTTTTTCTTTCCCCCCTTTTTCTTTCACAGGATACTACACTAGAGTCAGAAACAGGAGCAGGAAAAACTTTAGTTATCCTTGCAAAACCTCCTGATAAGGTAAAGTATTAAATGCACAATAGAATTTCTTTCTACTTTTCAAGAAACCTACTTTGTTGGATTAATAATAGCAATTTCTCTCCTTCAGAATAAAAGTAATCAAAGTGCAAACACCTTGACAACAAATCCAACTACTCAAACAGAACTTCTGAAATCACCAACCATAGCGCAGAAATCATCTAGCAGCTCAGAGCAGGATGAGATATCTGTAGCAGCTTCAAGTACTTCATCTGCTAATAAGGATGATCCATTTTCTGATGTAGTGAAAAATGTTGTTCAGCGTTTTTTTCATGTACAGCAAAAGACATCTGCTAGCCAGTCTGAAGGTAGTGATATATGATTGATTGTATTCAAATTTGTTTGACAATAAGTCATTAGGTCTCTTTACTGAGTTCTTTTCTTGGTATTTTCTTTCTTTAAAATGTTAAATTTTATAGTGAGAAGTTTTTTTAATTCAAGAGTAAATTTTCTGCCTGTGATTTATTGATAATTTCAAATGAAATTTTTATGGCTAATACTAATATAAACTATCACAAATTTTGTTTCTGTAATCAGAAGAAATATTTGCTATTGCAAACATATGCTACCTGATGCTGCATTTCAAATCATATCAGAATTTTCTTTCTTATAAGTAATTTTATATCTGAATTCTATTTTTATTTCTATTTTGAAAGCAGTCTGGTAGACTGCTTTCAAAATAGAAATGTACATTTCCAGACTGCCATGCATTTTAATGTACATTGATCTTGACTTCCAGCTAGACAGATGCAGTACGAAGTCCAAAATAATTAATATCCAAAAAAAAAAAAAAAAAAAAAAAAAAAAAAGAAGTTACAGAATTTAGGGTAAAAATATATTTATGAGTGCCACTTGGGGAAAGTTGGCAATTTTTTACGGTACATGGATACCGAGTTTGTGCAATTCTTTGATTTGTTATTTTGACTTTGCGTAGTGGCAATTTTTGCTCCAAAAATCGCGGCTACACAAAGACAAAATAACAAGTCAAAGAATTGCACAGACTCGGTATCCATGTACATATCAATCTATTTTCACTTAAAAAAAAATCAGAGAATTCCACAAACTTGGCATTGTGCTCTCCTTTGACTTTGTCCATGTACACATTGATCTATTTTCACTTAAAAAGTCAAAATTCCTTAACAGCATCCAAAAACTTCCTAAAATTATCTGAACTATCATATCAGAATATATGTATATCAGCATTGCCACATAAATTCACAAAAATAAGACCAAAAAATATCCTCCGACATTCAACCATACTCATTTCCTTCCTGCAAACAGAACACTTATGGTTACTAAGTAAACCTTCATTTACACACCAGTCAATTAATGCTGTTTTCCCCCTTTTGTTCCAAATCGTACAGAAACTTCAATTGAATCATACCACATTCAGCCATTCTACCGTCTAAACCAGGGTTTCTTAAACTGTGGGTCGTGACCCTCGATGGGGTTGCGGCACCTGCAGCAGGGGGTTGCCAAAAATTTTAAAAGTTTTGATATTTTTTTAAGTTATTATAATCATTTTACAACTACAAATATTTTTACACAGTGTAAAACAGATAAAAATAAAGCAATACAGGCAAAAGAAAACAAAAAAGTTTCGACACATTCTTTTAATAATATAAATGTTATTTTCTTTGCTTTGCACATTACGCTGTCATTTCTTCTGTTTCTTATTTAAAAATTTGACATTGTTCTATGTCTTAAAATTAGAAACTAAAGTTAATGACCTAAAACTGCAATAGTATATTACAGTACAAGTGAAAAAATTGACAGTTTCACTCACGCATATGTTGTATTTGTACAATACTTATGGCGTCCCACAAAATTTTTGTAAGTATTATGGTGTCCTGGGGGTCACGAAAAATGCGACTGAGAAAAGTTTAGGAAACCATGGTCTAGACTACAAAACAAGCAATGTATTTCCTAACCAACACACACCACAAGCCCTAACAAATCTTTCCCATCATTCAAAATTTACCGCAACCATGCAACCAATTATGTCATAAAAGGGTTTCCATAACATTCAACTACATAAATAAAACAACAACCTGGCTATAAATGAAGCAACAATTTGGCGATAAATGAAACAGCAACTCCCTGATAATAAAAAGGGCACCCTTCAATCTACTTTAACCAAATTTAGAAATGGAGACTATAGTACTCAACAAAAAGAAGCAATTTGGGCTTAAATATGATTTTTCTCCTGATTGAGATTCCAGTATGTCACTTCCAAACCCTTGCTAGCTAACAATACATTGATTGGTAGTGTACTGATGTTAGCCAGGTTCACATTTCCAGCCCTTGAGTGGTTGTGGAGCAGGGGCAAAGCAAGTGTTATGCATTTGCTGGCCTCTGCAATATCTGCTAAGTCCTGAATTCTGCTGCCTGGCAGCTCCTTAAATTCTAAAAATTTTCCTGCCATTAATTTCTTTTTTCCCATTTCCATTTCTAAAAATTTTGACTTCTCTAATTATTGCTGCTTGGTGTTCCTCTAAATTCTAAAATTTTTGTTACCCCTGAATTCTGCCATCCAGTGTGGCCACACTGGCTCTGGCACCAGCCCGGTTGGGAACAGGCTACCATTTTTCTCATTGAGATAAACAATAAGCAAAACTGCAGAAAGGCCATGTCTGCATGTCATCTAACTAGATTTAAAGTGATGATCTACATTCCAGAAATTTCTGAAACCAGGAATCGCTGAAGTCATGACGATTCTGGATCTCAGCCTTTGTACTGTAATGTGTTAAATAGTATTTATAATGATTTATATATAAATCCTTATGAAAACTAAAGCATAGTCTGATAAAGTATGCCTACTCGTTAAAGTTTTTAATTAGTTCCCCGTGGTGTAATTATTTATGCAGGTTATCTGTGAATTAATGCAGAATTAAATTTCTGTGCACAGTTTAGTAGCAGCCTTGTTGAAATTTGAGAATATAATGTTGTCTAAAGTTAATGTGATTTCCGAGAATGATCAGTATTCATTTATTATGACTCAAAGGAGAGAAGGGCAAAAGTATTGATTAGTTGGTCGACTCGATGGGAAGACAAGTATAAATGGAGGTCGTCCAAGATCTGATTATCCTGATAATAATCTCGATGAAACTATCATACTTTGGAACCACTTTTTTAACCCTCTGAGTGGCATGGTTTGGATCTGCTCATGAAAACCTGAAGTAATAAATTCAGTATGTAGATTGGTGGCCAATTGCAATAACTGCATTTTGTGTTTGAGGATTGTGTAGTGTTCTTATCAGCTCAAAAAAATGATTTCATGAAAATGAAAGTCACTTTGAGAGATTTACTTGTAGACCTTCAGGCTGCTAGAACTTAACTCAGCTATTCTACTGCTACACAAAAGCTTCATGAGATATGGCATTATGCAAGAAAACTAGTGATTTGTGTCCCACTCACTTAATCTTCCAAAGGGGCCTGATTAGGGTGGTGTCACTATCATGTTCAAATGAAGTTAAAAGAAATTGGATCATGCCTTATTTACTGAAGTCTGGATGTAGACCAAATTGTGATCCTTGACATGTTTTGATTTGGAAAGAGTGATCCATGTCAAGTAACTTGCCAGAAACATGTACTTGCCTCTTCTTATTCATGAAAGATCACATTTTTATGGAAACAACGTCATGGTTTGGTGGGGAATGATCAAAAATGACTACATTGAGCTGTTGTTGTTGTAATCCCTGAAGTGGTCTAGTCTGGTTAGACCAAATCCATGAGTTCAAATACCCCCAAAAGGTGTAAAAAGATAAAGTTCTGTAAAACTTTATCCAAGGTAAAATCGAGGCAAAATAAAATATGATCAGGTGATGCCCAAACAGCTGTACACTTGGCACAGGTTTTAAAAACTTTCTGCCTTGTTCGTAGGAGAGACTCCTCAAGTGTTCACTGGCAAAACATGATATGCAAGTCTGCTGGCTTCTATGGCTCCCAAAAGTAGGGCATCACCAGGGCAAAATCTCAAGTACGAGCCATGTACTGGAGGGACATTCCAAAGACCCTTAAGTGATTTCTTACACTAAAAAAAAAAAAAAAAAAACTCGCTGTAAGTGCAAAGCATATTTGACTGGGGAGTCTTTAAAGCAGCAACCTTTGCCATAGAATCCGCAATCTCGTTGCCAGTAATGCCAACATGGAAAAGATTCCATTGCATGTTCACCTTGGAATTAACTGAAAGGCAAGAAAGTATATTGAGGATAGGTATGCCCACCCTGTCCCCAATCTTTGTCCAGTCACTTAGATGTTGAACTGAGGATCGGCTGTCCGTTAAGATCCATACATCTACAAAATAAGGTTCAGCAGTATTTTCAACATAGTTCAGGCCTCTTTTGATAGTGATGAGCTAGATCTAAGCACAGCACAAGAATTTTAATTTCTATTTTAAGTCTTAAAATAGAAGTAGGAGTCCTGATGAAGACATCACTACCAGAATGACCTTGATCACACCTGTTGCCATCTGTATATATTTGAAGAGCATTTTTAGGTAAATGATTGATAATTTCAATGGCCATCTGTCTCATGAATTCAAGGTTGTCAGTATTTTTATGAACTTGATTCAAAAGCTCAGTGTGAAAGTGTATGCCACTAAAGTAATAGACAGGTCAAAAGCATGGCTTCAGAAAGTGACATTCAGTCGAGAAAGGGGGAAGCACAGTTAAAATGTTTTGCAGAGTTGCCTGAGAAAAGTGACTGTTTTATCTTCAGGCCTTGGTTATTGATCCAGCTCATCAGATAGGAAGAGGTTCTATTCTTGTCACCGTAATAGAAGCTTATAATACTGCACAAGACAAGAGTTCCTTCTTATACTCAACGGCTGGAGGTCATATTCAAATAGAGCAATATCGTTAGGGCAACTATGCCTCAATCCAGAAATAATTTTTGCCACACTAACTTGAACTCTTTCCAGCCTGCTGAGATTAGAATCTGCAGTACAGAAGTAAATAGGGGAACCATATTCCAAAATTGGTCTAATAAGGGAAGTATAAGTTAATTTCTGAGATGGGGCATCTACTCCCCAATCTTGCCCATAAGTATATTTTAGTAGATTTAGCCTCTTCCTGCATCTCATCTCCAGAGTCTAGATGTGCCTGTTACTAAGAAACTCTTAGTTTGTAGTAAATCCCTTATACTTAGCATTCTTATCATAAGGCAAGGTTTTGCCATTCATGACAATAGTAGGTTGATAATTATAAATGTGTTTACTACTAATATAAAAACTATGTTACAGATTTGGAAGTATGTGCACATTAGCAAAATCACTCATGTCTTTATGAGTGAAGTTATGTCAGCATCATTGGTCTTCATGACAGCCAGAATACCACAAGATAACATCTTCAGCAAAAGTTCCAACTTCGTGTCTCTTAAATATAACCTTTTCATATCCAGCAAAGAACAGTGAAAAGAGCAAAGGGTCCAAGACTAAGCCTTGGGGAATACCCTGACTAAGGGTGAAGTCCTCAGCCAGAATTAGCAGGTTAAATTTAACAAGACAGAGTCTTGTTGAATTTAACTCTGATAATTCTGTCTTTTAGAAAATTAGAAATACAGGATAGGGCATTGCTCCTCACACCATATTTATCAAAAAGTTTTACTCTAAGTTTATTACACCATACCCTGTTAAAGGCCTTAACCAAGTTCAAGAAGACAGCCACTGTATGACTTATAGGCTGTAAATTGTGGGCATCTTTAACACTCTGACAAAAATATAAAATTTGATCAATGATATAGTGTTCCTTCCTAAAACCTGTTGATGCTTTAGAAGCAGCTCATTCTAAACTTGATTCAAGATAGTATGCAAGTCTATTCAGCCATATTTTCTCCATAATTTTGCATGGTATACAAGTTTAAGAGATGGTGTGTTTAACTCTCAGGTGAGCTAGCAACTTTATCTGTCTTCCTAATTAGAATAACAATCACCCTTCCCTAGTCAAGTGGTATTTGACCACTCCTCCATGAATGATTAAAAATATCTAACAGTCTAAGTTTATCGTTAGGGCCGAGCATTACCATAAGTCTCGCTATATGTCAATAAGTCCATCAATTGGTTTGTTTGAAACATAAATCATTCAATCGGTTTGTCATTTTTGTTGAACATCAATTTGCTCATTTGCTTGTAATACCCACCTAGAATATTGGCAGCAACTTTATCATTGTGCAGTATTTGTCCATTTGGATCAATTATAGGATTACACACTTCCATTTGAGGATGTTCCTTTCTTAGAGCTCTTGTGAGCTTCTACTGCTTTGAGCTAGGTATTGTAGCATTAATATTACTGCACTTTTTTCTTCAAACTTTTTGTTGATGTCATAGGCTCATTTGAGCTCTGTATTGTTAAATTCGATTCTAAGGTTGCTACAATTAGAATTTTTAAACCCCTGAAGCAACAAATTTGAGTCTTCAATCAAAGCTGTAATTTCAGGGAAGAAAAATGAGTACAAGTTCCTAGGCCATTTAAAATTGGCTCTTGAAATGAATTGTTTAGCACAATACATAACTATCCTCACAGTCATCATTAAAGCTGACATCACTTAAGTTCCATTCAGTCAATTCTGAAAAACCTTGCTGGTCTGCTTTGCGAAAATTCCAAAAACTTTCTCTAATGGCAGGATTCAATTGTTTACTCTTAATCTCAGTCAATATTGGTAGGTGGTCACTGCCTATATTATTTGGGACACTCCATTGTCATTCTTGACATAAGTCAGCATTTACAAATGAGATGTTCAGGGCTTCAGTACTGTTATAACTGAAAAAGACATTAGTATGAGAGCCATTATTTAGAAATAAAAGTGATTTATTGTCTCCTGGTTTTAAGAGTTCATCATCTCTATTATTAGTAACTGATCCCGCCCAGTAAATGGTGTTTGGCACTGAGATCATATAGAAAGATGCTTGGAATATTGTCATGATTTAGACAAAAATGAATTGAGCAAACAGCCTTGCTTAGGAAAGTGATACATATTAAAAAATTGCAGTTTCTTTTTATTCCAATTGATCAAGATACCCTGCATTTCAAGATCAGAATACTTAGTAGTAGAGAGGATACCAATGTTCTGATAGCCCACATCTCTAATTAAGAATGCCAGGCCACCTCCTTTGTCCGGCTTATCACAATGAAAGATGTGGAAGCCATTAATATTCAATTAGGAGAGCTCTCTAAGCTTTATCTTCTGTAATGCTATAATGAGTACATCATGGGATATGGCTAAATCCAGAATCTGGTCCAGCTTCGCCCTCATGGCAGTAGTAGTCAATTCATTGAAGTATTTTAAGAGATCTTTCTTTAGATGGTAGAGACTGTAGTATACTTGACGAACCTAGCTTTCTGCTTAAACCAGGAACGTGCCCCTGATTAATCTGCATGACACGTGATTCAATATAAAAACTGGAAGAAACTGAACTCATAAAGAGGGAAGCATTACAGCTTCTGTGGGCCATAAGGCCTGGAGCACCTGAGGTAGAAATCTGAATTTTCTTCTAAGCTTTGCCTGCTAACCTTAGCTAAGCATAATAGAATAACTTTCATGTCTAGGGTGGCCTACCAGGAGCCAAGTTTCCAATTTACTTCACTCATTCTGTCCATTGACACCTCCTCCCTGCAAAGAGGCAGCATAGTAGGGACACTGAGTTGAATATCTTTAATGGAGGTTTTATAACCAGTCATAGATATAAGAATGAGATCCTAAAATTCTGCAAAAGACTGTTTAAGAATGTTTGATTTCACATTTTGTAAAAATTCATCTCAAATAATTGTCGAGTTTACTTTGAACCCAACTGAGTATATGTTTGATAGCTTAGACTGCTGAACTGCAATTGCCAAATTCCTACCCGGACTTTTGAGGATCTGAAAAGTGCTCTTTCAGAAGAGTGACATGCAGTTCCACTAGACTTGATCAACAATTTCATAAATTCTCTGAAATCAAGGTGTAAATTTTGCATTGCTCTCAAATTTGACTAAATACCACATTAACGATGTGTTGCAAAATGGGGAAAATAATTTTCTCATCATTTTAAAATTTTCATAAATTTGACTTATAAATTTATATTAATCAAATAGAAAATAAGTTAATTTATGTTATGTTTTTATACAATTGTCTTTAATAATTTTTCAGTAAGTAACAGTTAAATTTTGTTTCAATCAGTGTTCTTTACTTTTGATGAGCAGTGTACCATAAGTATAGTATGTAATAGAAACTTAATCTTCAATGTAAAGTGTAAGTTTGAATTAACTGAAATTATAATTATTAGTATGCTATGAGAAAATGGTATGCAATTGTTTCAGAAAATTCAAATCAAATACCTGTTCTCCTTTTTTTTCCTTTTTTTTATGTAACAGTACTAAAAGTACTACAATTTTCTGAACTGTAAATGCAACTACCTATAATGTGGTCATTATTTATCGAATTACGATTTCATGATTTTGATATCTGCAAGAGTCTTAATTTTTACTACCCCAATTTGTGTAATATTAATGACCTAAGCCTACTTTTTAAACTTGACTGATTTGTTTTTCACAAAAGTTAATTGATCTAAAGTTACTTCTTTGCCTGAAATAATTTATTATAAGTATATTTAATTTAGTTTTTTTGTTTTGTTTTTCTATATTTATTACTGTTTCAAGTTAAAAAAATATTAATATATCAATTGATTTTGTTTTGTACAATTATGATAGGGGAGCAAAAATTGTCATCACCTCCTGAGATGTCGTTTCCTGTCAAATTAGTTGATGAATCATTACAGTGGTGTGATACAGCATTGGAGGTGATTATATGCATCTTTTAGGGTCATTTTTTAATATACTTATAAAATAATAAGAGAAATTTATTTTTTGCGAAAACTGGAGTACAAAAGAGTGTAAACTATTACATATTTTTTCTTTTAGTATCTTCATGATTCAACAGACTTTTATGTAATTGGTGTTCTTGGTCTTCAAGGTGTTGGTAAATCTACTGTCATGTCAATTATTGGTGGCAATTATGGTGAATCATCTAAGTGGTATGTATGCTGCTAAATGAAGATCTTATGTTTATTATATTTTAAAATATTAAGAATTTTAAAATGCAGTATATATATATATATATATGCATGCTTAAAAATTAAAAATCTTACTATTGAATGATTAACAATTGTGTATAATCATAATTTTTTTTACCCTTCAACACATGTAATTAAGTTGTGCAAGTTGTACACTTTTGATCAGTTATCTCGAAACACCCATGGTTTACCACATTTAGAATCTGCTGCCATTATTTTGTGGATCTACCTCCAGGGCAGCACTATTAATAGCACTCATGATTTGAAGGTATTGCCCAGTATTTTGTTTTACAGACTGTTAATTTCTTATATTCATTTATATTAGATCCCTTCATATCAATACTATCTTAAGAGATTAAAAGGTGCAAAAGACAATGTTAGTACTAACAAATTCCAGCTGTGATACGTCAACATATGTAAAGATTTTATGAGCTGAGGTATCTCTTACACAAACACCAAAAGATGATTTTAAAGCATTTTGCTGAAAAGCACTCTGAATTCCATTAAGTTATTGAAAAATGCCTGAATATTGAACAGCTATATTGCAATTTTTAAGTTTTGATAGTATGAACAGGGCAGGGTCAATAAATTTTAAGCCGAATACACTTCTGCAAGATAAATGCTTAAAATATCTCATTTAAAATTTCTGTCTAGTTCCCTTTCGCATTATAGTACTTTGTACAATAATCCGTTAATCAGATTCTAATAGAAAATAATGTTTTTCACAGTGGCGAAGTCAACAGACGAGAGGTAGCGTAAATACATTTATTTGGTTTCTGTTCTAGGCTATATGCAAAAAAATAAAACTTATAAAATATTGTTCTTACTGAACAGCAGGGGAGAAAATATAAAACACAAAACAGATATAGTGCAAATGTTGTAGAGTTTTATTTAGATTTACATCTCTTCTCCTGGGGGTTGCTGTTATGATTCCAGGGCACAAAATTCTGGTGCTGCATACCACCTTGTGGTTGCCTTTTTTGGCCGATGGTGGCCAGTCCGAGCAGGTTGCTCTCTAGTAAGGTAGCGATGAACTTGGCTACCATCCACTGAGTCTCTTCGCAGAGAGATATAATTGCTCTTGGCAGAGCGAAAACAAAATTTGCTTTTGACAGTGATGAAAAACATGAGAGAAGGCTTCTCTCTCGACACTGCGACTAACTTTCATTCTCTCTCTAACTAACTGGAACTGTGTTGCTTATTTTTGTTCAAGTTTAAAATGGCATGTCGGGATGATTTCCAGAATCCTCATTTGCCCATAATTTTTAACAGTATCTCTTGATTGGCGAGAGCCTCTTGATTGAAAGCTGGACATAAGGGTGACAGGCTTGAGAAAACTCTGTTAGAATTTTCAGTTCTGACTTTGGACCCAAACTGGGTGGTCTGTGACAATGCACCTATAAACTGATGTAAGAGAATGAAACAATGCCTCTTTTTTGGACAACTATAAAGGAACAAAAACTTGAAATTGGTATGTGACTGCCACTTATGTTCATCTTTCCGAGAACTCTTAAGTGGTCGGTAAGAAATATTCTTTTTCTAAGAACTTTTGAGGTGGTTGTTAAAAGTATTATTTTTCTTAGAACTTTCAAGGTGGTCGGTTAGAAATATTCTTTTTCTCAGAACTTTCAAGATGGTCGTTAGAAATAACTTGAGACGTTATAATATCAGTACCATCTTAAGAGATTAAAAGGTGCAAAAGAGAATGTTAGTACTAATAAATTCCTGCGATAAGTGAACATCTGTAAAGATTTTATGTGTATGAGCTGAGCTATCTCTTACAGAAACACAAAGACATGATTTTAAAGCATTTTGTTAAAAAACGCTCTGATTTTCATCAAGTTATTGAAAAATACCTGAATATTGAACTAGACAGTGCACTTATAATGTGATTTTTAAGTTTTGGTAGTATGAACAGGCCAGGGTCAATAAATTTTAAGCCAAATACACTTCTGCAAGATAAATGTTTAAAATTGCTTTCTTAGTTTTTTTGTCTAGCTCCCTTTGTCCTTATTGCACTTTGTACGATAATCCATTAATCAGATTCTAATAGAAAATAATGTTTTTCACAGCCTTCGAAATGTTTTTGAGTGACGCCCTTAAAATTATCACTGTTACTCTAACATGAACCACAAGAATGCTGCTTCAGTTTTTGAAACCAAAAGAAGGTACTTGGGGCCAAATCTGAAAAAGGTAGCAGAAAGGGAAGAAACTAAAATCAGCAATGCTGATTAGCAATTCGAAAAATATGAACTCTTTATGCTGGAGTTAGGCAAAAGCAATATTTTTCTGCTGAGTCTGTTATCACATTATGCCTTTATGGCTTGTCTGAGTTGAATCAACAGGTTAATGTGATAAACTCATATTATCATGGTATATGGCAAATAATCAATGAGGAATAGCTTTTCTTTATCCCCGAAAATAGTGCCCAAATTCTTCCTAGAAGATTTTGGGGTGCTAGACTTAAAAAGTTGGGCAGATCTATTGTTTCCACAATATGTCTCTTATTTTGTCTAGTTTTCTGGTAAAAGTGATGGATAGTGACAGGAGATAAAATTATATTTTGTTTTCTCTCACTATCTGTGAATAAAAATCTTTATCATAGATAACAGATCTTGAGAACATCTATATTTTCATCAACATTTCGGGATCCATATGGTACAAATTTTTGATGTTCTCAGTTTTTCATGCACTATTTTTTCTTTGATCCAACACTGGTGCATATTTTCATAGTAATTTTAAACACTATCACTCACATATTTGTGTCATATATTCCTTAGCTTTGGCATACATTTCTTCAATGATCAGGTATACAGCTGGATATGGATATGGTCTGGAATCATCTTCAGTTGACATTATTTTTCATCTAAAAATGAAATCCACCTTTTGATAGTGACATTGGAAAGGAGTGTATCACAATAGAGTGCAGCCATGCATTCAAAAGAAGGCTGTTATGCCTTCTTTTGTCAAGAACTTGTTATATGAATATTAATATATGAATATAATTTCATTGCTAACAGACATCAATGACTAAAAAATCTCAAAAATCAAATTGGGGTGTGTTGCTTTCCATTTTATACTATTTATATTATTTTTTTAAGGATGATGCAATAATTTTAACTTTTTTTGGGGGGGGGTCTTCCCACAAGTATTACATCAATTTAGGTTTAAAACTTTTTGAAGGCCTCTTGAATGAGATTAAAAAATGTTTCAAATGCAGACAAATTTGATATGTTCACTGTCAAAGCTGATTGAGTATGTCCATTCACACATGTCAGGATCACACCTGCATTTTAACCCTCTGAGTGGCACAGGATTTTAGATCTATCATGAAGACCAGTATTTAAACAGTATTTATTAATTGAATTTGTATAATTACTTATTTTAGTCCATATTTTCATTAAACTTACATTCATTAAGATCTTATTTACAATATTAAAGAAAGTAAGAAAGTGAAATATCATAAATTATAAGCCAATACATGTCAAGTAGCAGAACTTCTAATGACCGGATAAAGCCAGTCATAACGCTCAGAGGGTTAAGGCTTTTAAATTATTTTCTGTTGGTCTATTATTTAAACATAGATATAACAGATTACTTAATTGCTTGTGTGAATTAACTAAATTCACATGAATATAGTTGACATGTGAAGCAATATTTTTATTCTCTGTGGCAAGTATGCGATAACTTGAAACTAGATAAACAATGCTTATTCTTTTTTGCATTCACACCAAACTCCTAACATGAGATACGTTTTTTTGCATTAATCATATATAAGTCACCAAACAAGAATCTAGGGAGTCCACTTATAACATTCCCTAAGCAAATAAAAAAAAAAAAAAAAAAAGTCTTATAATTATGTTTTGAGAAAATGAGCTATTTCAGTACATCAAATGTACTGTCAAGTCCCTTTCTCTGCCAAACATCTAAACAATGCATATAATTACTATGGCAATATTCATACTCAGTTGTTTAGATGAGGCAATCAGTAACAAATTATCTCATTGCTGGCAAGTAAATCCAGCTTAGCAACTATGCGAAGGTAGATGGCAGGAAACATAAAATAATAAACGTGTCATTCTTATTTAATTCTTTAATCTATCAACATGTAGCTTTAAGAGTGCTTGTCTTCTATAGTGGCCTTCCAAGAAAATGAATTTGGTATGCTCTTGCATTGGCAAGGAACAAACGCTTACTAGTCTGAGCATGTGCAAAAAACAAATGGCTAATGATCTAACTGCTTTTTCATATTCACACTGTGTCAATATAGTTGTTTTTTCTTGCAAAATATTCATTATATTCACTATTTTCAATCTTCCATCAATTCCAACAATAGAAAATGAAGTTGTAGTTGATGTTTGGAGCATTTTTAGTAGCAGTTGTCAAACTGAGGTCTCCAAAAAAAGTCTAAAAAGTTAATTTTTCAGCATGTTTACATATTTTTTGTAATAAATTGCTAATGAAATTGTATTTAATAAAATAATAGATAGAATTTTTCAGGGTGTTTAATAATAAATAAAATCTCCCTGCCTGTTTATATATGTTGCTATTTTAAGTAAATTCCTTAAATAATTTTATTGAATACAGTAATTAACGTATACACTAAATAAGTTTAAAAAAAAACTTATTATATAAAAATAAACTTTTGGTTATTTTAAATGAATTATTGTCAAAATAGTATTAAAAAAATAATAGATCAAAATTTATATTAAATCCGCCCTATATGTATACATTAAATAACTTGTATTTTATAGATATTGGATGAATTTTTTATTTATCTTTAGCCGTAGTCAATTTAATTTTCATGGATGTTTATAACATTTGGCAACAAATCACACATTCTTAAGCCTGAATTGTGGCAATGCCATTTTCTCTGACCAAGGCCACTAGAGAAGAAAAGTACCACTTTAAGTTTGGTTCAGTTTTTCAAACTGCCTTAAATGTTTCTGAAATGTCGAATA